ATTAACTTTTTACTCTCTTTCAGATTTGAGTAGTGTATTGTGTGGACGCAGCGCATTCAAAGTGTTGACTTTATCTCCTTGTCTTGCTAGCAAAGGCCCTCTATCGTGTAAAAGTCACACCAATGGGGTGTGTTGAATAGCGAAATATGTTCCATATTCTCTGCTACACTTTGTTGGCTGCGGAACAATTTCACTAAACCTTATGGTGGCCTGTAAGACAGGTTGGTGATCTGATATGGCAACTTATGCAGTATAAATATTTACAGGAGTCGTTTTAACTGTGGTATATTAAGATTGATATCTGCTACTATCCCTTCGTGATGTCATATGGTCAAGAGAAGAGAGTCCAATCTGCACGAGAACTAAGTATCTGACTGTGATAGGGTCTGTAGATGAATATGAAACTATGATAGGATTGTGATCAATGTTATGGAAATCATTATCGACTGTAAATAGTGTCAAAGGTAAAAAGAGGACGGGGAACATAAATCCAGCTAAACTCAATGAAAAGTTCGTGTTGGTGCTGGTTTAATTCAGTAGACAGACATTAGGATCCAGAATGAGTGATTCGACTTGCAACCCATAGACGTTGTATCCGGAATATCGTATAGTTAGTTGTGGCTGAAATCCTCGAGTAATAGAATTTTTGAAAGCATCTGTCGAAGCAATGAGTTCAAAGCCAGATGGAGATATGGATGCATGTGATAGTATATAAACAGAACAAAATGTAAGAGTTATTCTCGTGTGAAGTTCAACGGTAATATACTGTAATGGCGGTAATGACGGTGACAGACGAGATGAGGGCAAATGTGTAAAACTTAAAATTGAAACACCACTACTAGGTCGGTTACAGTCGATGTTATCATTCCTATAGCAGACGCAGATACAAAAATCCAAATTGACTGTTGATGATAAATGTGTTTACGACAATAGAGAGCTTTTGCGTAACGTTAATGCTAACATCATTTGGTATTGAGTAGATATTGAAATAGAAATTAAAAAAACTATGCACAAAAGTGCAAAAACTAATGGAGAAGAAGTACTAATTCTACTAAGAGAAACGTTAAAAATCGCCATGCTATTATTGACAACAGAAATGCTTATTTAATTTTAGTAGCAGTTTAGTTTAGCAGTCTTAATTAAAAAACAAACAAAATAAATGATCTAGGCAATTGAAAGCATATTAAAAGAATAAACGGCACTAATTCGCTTTGAGAAACGTTAATAATCGCCATAACAGTATTGAACTACTTTTAAAGCACGTTGGAAGTGAAGACTGGTCAAATATGGAAAAGTAACTTTACAGCTTATATTTAAATTTTATTAACAATGTGAGCATAAATCTTAAGTGAAGCTTATTATAACTGCAATACATGTATACCATATGTTCTCCTTATTCACTTCGATTAATGGCAGAGTGTAATAATTTTAAACGAAGAGTGTGATACTGTGAAAATATGGATTTCATAGTAAAAATACTATTTCTATACTCGGTTCAGCTAGAGCAAACAGCGGAAATAAAGTCATCTGCCACTTGACATTAGTTTCGGCTGATTAAGTTGTAACAAACTTTATATAAAGCTAGATTGTAACAAACAGCGTTAATATGAATAATAGAACAGAAGAAATCGTAGACTCAGTGAGGAATAGACAAAAGTAGGTAATGTCTGCGAAAAACAGCAAACTTTAATCTTTATTTCCTCTATCAGTTCTCTCTGAAAAATAAGTCGGAAGTAGTATTTTTAAAATAAAAAAGGAATTTTAGCTCTCAACAATCTTCTATTAAAATCATCACACTCTCCAATCGATCAAGGTAAAAAGAGGAGTACATATAGTATACACGTATATTACAGTTAGATTAAGACTTACATTTCCATTCATATTTAAGATTTATATTTCCATTTTCAAAGAAATTAAGAAAATATTAGGAGTTAAGCACTTACTTTTCAAATATGAACCCTATTCTCTTCTCAAATGCTTCAGACGTAGTTTTATATGTTCCCGTACATTCCGCAATAAAAATTTTATTTCAATATCAGTGACTTATTATACACATCCTTCTAACGCTTGGAATCTTCATAAGGATTCGAAGCTAAAACTTCACTGAGAAGAAATATTACCTCGGTTATACACCAACTTAGGTGTTTTTTGGTCTCCATTATTAAAATACTTATATTAAAGTTAATGTTCCTATGATAATTGTGAGATACAATACGCTGCTTCTGAGCATGCGCAGTATTGCTGAAGCTTGGGAAATAAGGTTTGCGTTTTCGTTAATGTAACGTAAACGTAACGCAAAAGCTGTCTAATATCTCTGACCTTAGAGATCGCATTGCTGCACAAACTAGAACAATTCTATGAAATATTGGGAATAGGGATTATGTACTTGAAGTAGAAACATCATCAATCGGAAGGTAATCGAAAAATGCTTAATTTTCCGAATGATCTACATCTTTAAGTATGGAGGTTAAAGTAACTCAACGTAGTAGAGACACTTCATTCAAGATGCTTTTTAGAAAGGCATTTGAAGTTTGATTAACATGCCGGATGAATTTAGGATTTTGTTTCCTACAACAGATGTCAAGCCTTATCTTGGGTGGGAAGTTCGCATTTGTTAGCTGTTTTAGAACAGGACACGACTTTTCAGAGAAATAAATTCAGAATTTTTTTTTTGATACTGGAGGATATATGAAACGATATCCAAACGATATCCAAAACGGGTTTCCGTTACATTTGCTGTGAAATATATGTTGGAGGAATATTTGTTTGTGTGATAACTATGTACAAAGTAGTCTTAATAACCGTGGATTAGGAAATGACCGAGCATGGTGTATGGGCTGTATTTATTCTGCGGGTTTCATCAAAAGTTAGATTTCGTGAGACTGACTGATAGTATTACTTTCTCTGGGATTATTAGGGATTCCTCCTAGAGTAGACAGCATTAGTCCACTTGTAGCAAACGCATAAGAGTGAGAACTCACAGGAATTGTTATCGTGGTTAACCTCGACAAAATGTTTTGGAATGCGCGAAACTTTGACATTCAAAACATCACCGTGGATTTAGGATATACGATTAAGCCGGGAAGTTGTGTCAAACCAGCTTAATTGAAAATAGTAACTAAGGTGTGCTGAAAATAACAAGATGTTTCGTAGAGTAAAGTTTTCTATCCCCTTGAATTCTAATCTTACAAACAACAGTGACATTTCGATATCGCAATTCTTCTTCTTTCATTTTCCCTGGATCATTAATGAATTCTTATTCTGATATAGCACCTCAAGAGGTGTTGAACTATTTATACAATGTAACAATAACTACAAATGAACGCATGGATGTGAATGCTTCTAGAAATTTGGCGTGTTTTTCTGATGAAATCTGTGTTTGAATTTAACGGCAGGGTAGCATTTTTAGAAATTACACCCCTTTAATTTGAAAAGGTTGTCATGTACTTTTAAAGAAGCATTTGAGATTGTAGGATTTGCTTGTGTAATGGTGTTGTATCGAGCGTAAAAGGGTGTCTTGATGGACTTACCGACAGTAGAAGCGCTGTTCAACCCTTGGCTAGCTGGCACAAAGTAAGGGACAATACTAGCACGAACATCCTTTACAAACTTTTACACCTCTGCAAATATTGTTGAATTCACGCACAATGGATACCTTGAAACGTAGATATATCAGGCAATGAAATGGCAGATAGTCTTGCCAAGGCAGCTGCAGCTGAGGCCACTGCGCCTCCAGTGTCTCTTACCTCCTCAGAGCTCTTCTTCATTGTTAAAACTAAAACTAAATCAGCCTGGCTTACTCCACCCAGTCACAATTGGTTACAGGGTACCGTAGCTGTTTGACAGCTGACAAAGACTGTCAGTCTTAAACCGCCATCACACGCCTCCGCTGTGGACACCCGAAATCACTGAGGTACTCTGGAGGAGAAAAGTGTTTTGCCCTCTGTACCAAGTGCTTTTCGGCCCAGGCATCCCCTGAACTTCTACTGGACTGCCTTAAAACAAGACCTTTTAAAAAGACCCTTACTTGTTTTAGACTTTTTTAAGGTGAACAAGCTCATGGATCTTGTCTAGCTAGGCTAGAAATGGGGATTTGAAAGAAGAAGAAGAAAGGGTTGATGGAAATATATATACATGTAAAGGGGTTGTGCTTTGGTGTGCAGAATTGAACACCTTGCTACTTTCATCCTTAGAAAATAAAACAAGTACCACTACCAGTGGCACCACCCATCAAGGAGTCCAACTAAGAAAAAAGCAAATAATAAATTGGTGCTGAAACTAATTTGATTTTGCAGTGTGTAAGAATTATTGATGATTGCTAGGCTAAGTTTTGACTATCTTTAGTCCGGTATGCTTGCAATGGAAATGGCATAAAATGTCAATATAAAGCCAAACTCTTCGGAAAATAAAAACCGTTTGTGATCTAATTTTCTAATATTCGAAAAATTACTCCAACCCTGTATTCGTTAAACTGCTAAAATGGGGAATTATCCATTGATATTAAAAAAATTTCATTTAGATTGGTATTGCGCAGTTTTTTTCTTTAAAAAAGTTTAAGACATATATTTTTTCAGATATATAAGCGGTTTGAACTTTCTAAAACCAAGATAACTCTTTACAGCAAGAAAGTGTACATTTTTAACTTTGCTTCTTGTTTAAGGCCCCCTTAAAAGCTTTTTTTTTTTTTTTTTTTTTTTTTTTTTTTGCATGTATACGGCATAAGTTTAAAATGTATTTTAAGGACTAAAATTTAGTTAATAATGTAATTATAAAGAAATGAATTTGAAATGCTTTAAGAAATTTATCATGTTCATGAAAAATTGGTTCTCCACCATTTTAAAGTGTCTGTCAATCAAAAAATAATTTTTACGTAAATTTATTTTGAACAATTTTGGCAAAGCAAAGTTGCAATTATGCACGATACATATTTAAGTCAAGTGATATAATTTTAGAGTTTCAATAAAATAATCAGAATGCAATTAAAAATCATAAGTGAATTTTTTTCATGTATATATTTACGTTTTACATACATATTATACAAAAATACAATTAGCTATTACAAACCAACCTTTTCTCTCTCATAGTCTTCAAATATATGCAATAACATAATTTCAAATAGCCTAAGTTATTTTCATGTGCGTGTTTCATTTTATAAATTCTGAGTCTTTTTCCTACCACTTATGTTTCAAAATGACCAACATTATCTTCAGTCTTTAAAAAGTTTCATAGTTGATCCTGCAAGTATAAAATATTTCAATTTTATCAACAAAAAAAATAGAGAGTGTTAAACATTTGAGTAACTTAGTAAAATAGTTATAACATATTTACATCCATTATTTAAACACAGATGCTTACTCTAGATTTGTGTTTTCTTTTTGAAATTCAAAATATTATTTTTTAAAACGTTATTTAACCAAATCATAATAATTCTAGAAATTAAACACAATTTATTGATAATAAACGATTAAAAGAGGCATGACAATTCCACAAAAAATAAAAACCTTGTATACTTTTAGTGTTAATAAAATGCTGATTATTATAATTTATTTTAAAGTGTGGACTTCTTTTTAGTGTTTAGAGTTAATTTTGAAATTATATACTATGTGAACACTGAAAAGCCTTAATAGGTGCATAAATGTTTCGGAAATTTTGTTTAATGTCTAGGTATAAAGTAATGGATCATATTTTGTTCAAAGTCATTTTCCAATTTAAAACCAATAGCCAGTGTATTTGGTAATTAATATGATTGGGTTTCATTACTGCAAGATTACATAGTTTTCATACATATTTTTCAATATTTTTGCATTAGGATTTCAATTAAATTTAGATATTTCATCCAACTAATTGGATGTCAGTCAGTTACCAATTTGTTGTAATTACTGACATTAATTTGTCCTAATGTTATTTTCGAATTCAAAAACTATATGCTGATATATTATTTGTTTGGTGATATCTATTCATTATTGAAGTGTATCTTGTTAAAAAAACTTTCTTATTGAATCGGTATAGCTAAGCTGACCAGACTCCTCCTAAAACCAGAGAGCTAGCAGCAAACTTTCAAAATAGACATTCGAATGCTCACCCCTAGATTTTCTAATTATTAAAAAAAAATAGTTCTGTTTGAGAATCTTTGCGCAGGAACTTTATTCTAAAAATCTGTAGAATCTAGTGATGTTATACACTTTTCAAGTTTTGTTGCTGTTTTGTTCTAAAGTGTCCTAGAAGTACTTTGGAAACTAAGTTCTGAAAGTAGCTTCATTTAATCGTTTAAATGTCGAATTTAGAAAGAATTAACCAAGTAGCTTAAAATTTTATAAATTTATTACAAAAAAGCATCTAAAAACGAAAAAGGAAATAGGTAAAAAAAAATAAGTTTAATTTTGACTATGTTCCATTTTTTAAATTTTACGCTACTTCTAGTACATGAATTTACCAAAAAAATTAAAAACAATATGAAATTTTTCGTTGCTTGGGTTGCTCTAAACATTCTTTGTAAAAAAATCATAATAAAGCTCCCTTTAGCATTTCTTACCTCTTGAGAAATTAGTTTTCCAGAAGAGCTGTCACTGTCTGTTGTATTTACATCATTTACTTCATTAAATGCAGTCTTATTTAATTTTTGTATTCCGGTGCCTAAAATATTTTAAATCACAGTAAGTAATGCTGCCATCTATGAACAAGATCTCATTCTAAAAGTATTATATTTCAGAATATTCTTTTACAACTCAAAATCTGCAGAAATAGATCATAAAGCGAATCAATAGATGGCGCTGCAATCTCGCATACATATTAAGACATCGAAATATTTCCTCATTGTCTCTCTATGTAATTTTTTTTTTAAAAAAGTCATTTAAATTGATTAAAGTCTTAATTCTTGTCTAAATTAATCATACATTTTGCATACAATGCAATGAGCAAATGAAAGAAAAATTTAAATAATTGTATATTATAGTATTGTATATTGCTCTTGTATTTTTTTAAAGATATTTTTTTTTTTTAATTTTGTTAAAAGCAAAAAATAAATAAATAAAATTGTGCATTATGCTGACATATATTTCGGAACAAAGTATGAAAATAATCGATTTTAAAAATAAAAGTAAGAAACAAAAACTGATTAAATTTTAAAAAAAAGAAGTTGAGTCAATTAAATTAAATAAAAATCTGTGGCAGGAATCAAGGTTTAAATTTTTGTAATCTGATTTTGATATTGAGTAAAATTGATTTGTATATAAAAATTATTAACAACTGTTTGCTTAATTTCGGGATACGCTTGAGGATATTTTTTTCCCTTTTAAAAATAATTTTCAGTTTTCCTCTACATGGATTAAGGGTTCATTTGTTTTCTGAATGGTAGAAAAGGCGATACATACATTTAACTTAAGATAATGCGTACTGAAGATAATAGAATTTGGGTGCCACAAACGCATATTTATAGTAGAAAATTAAAAATCATGATTAGATTATTTTTAGTAACATGCAATAATTTACTTATATAATATTATATTGTTTCTTTTGGCTTTGTACAAGCATAAATTAAACGGAATTATAGAAAAAGAAAGAAGAGAAAATGAAATTATTATATCCGAAATTATTGCCCTTATTATTGTTACGCACTCACGTTTGTACTTAATTAAAAAGTGTAAATGTGTAATTCTCGTCAATTTTGAGAGTTCAGTATGACATAACTATATAATCAAAAACTTATTTTTTCAAATGAAAAGGTTTGAAAGGGATATAATAACATTTACGAAGTTGCGATTGTGTAGATTTTGGCTATGAATTAGAAAGCTGCGCGTTTCAGATTTGAGGTAAAAAGCAGTTAACAAACTTATTCTGTTGGAGTAAATGAAAAAAAATGACACTCGTTTAAAGTTTTGTAACGACAAATAAGATACTTCAGCAACAAATATTTTTTGAATCGATAGCCTGGAGAACAAGTAATTGTTTAGAGATTGGTCATTGTTGTGGAGTGTCATGTTCAGAGAGAATGATATTTACAGGCAGCAAATTCGTAGTTTGGAAACTGATAATATTCTTTGAAGATCTGGATAAAGTCTTACAACAGCAACGACACAAAATGAGGATCGGTTTTTAGCAATAATGGCTAGAAGAAAATCATTATGCGCACCTTTTAAAATAGCTTATTTATAGCGCTACTGGCACCAGAGTTGTGACACAAATTGCTTGAAATAAGCTTAATTGTGTTGGGTTGTATACTGGAAAATCTATAGTTTATGTTTAGTTTTTTATGGTGCTACCGTGCAACTCATAAGACATGAGCATAGAGTCATCTCAAATAGATGTGTGTGGAGCAAATTGCTCTTAAACGAAGAATCTCGCTTCATTGTATAACCTGATAATTGTCATCGAATAATCATTGCTTTGTTAACTGTTAAAAATTCCTGAAGCTTATAAAAAGTACCTATGTGGAAACAATGCTAATGAACAGTTTGATAAAAATGGTCTCTTTCATAAAAGTGTCATTTATCATTATAATATTCCCAAACTCTCTATTTCTAAATTTGAAAGAGTGACCTATTAATGAATGCACCTTTCCCATTTGTTCTAGCAACTATGATTTTATTACATCAAGCTCAGGGAAAAAAATTAAATCGAGAATAAAAATGTTGACAAAAATATCAATTTTATTTTGAAATTGATACTGAAGTAATATGAAAATTAAGTTTATGTTCAAAATTGAAATTTGAGTGATTTAAAAAAGTTTTGTTTTAAGAAAATAAAGTAATTTGATTCCGACGCAAGCAATACAGTATTTTAAATCTATAGACATTATTTTTAAAAATAAAGATCAATCACATAAATGCTTTGTGTCCTGTTATTCTATACGCTTAACTCTATAAAAAGGAACACTTTATTTTGTAGCATCAAATGATTTTCTGAGACTCTTTACTTTAGTGAGAAATAAAAGACTATCCTAAAAGCAGTAAGACTTTGTAAGATCAGTATACTCCATGTAATGTAACCTAATATAAAGAAAATTCTTTAAATCCCTGGGATTTGATACTTCCCAAAAGACTTAAAGTAGTCTATTCAAAGAAATTCGACGAAGCTTCATTTAATTTAAGAACTTTTGAACTGTTGAAATGAAAATGTGTTTGCTAGGGTAATACATGTTTTTCAAAAAGTGAAAATTTTAAAATATGTACGACTTGCTTTAAGTTTATACCATCATACATACCAGTACAATTCTGATTACTGAATGAGATTTGATCGTTATGGTTCATAGATAGGAAATTTATGATTCATTTTAAATTTATACTATCACGGATATAATTCAGTTATCTGAATGAGTTTTGTCTGTTAATTTTCAATTTAAGCTAAAAGAGAAAAACAATTTATGATTAAGTTTAAATCATTGCAGATAAAATGCAAGTTCTTGAATGATGCTTGATTGCCTTGAGTTATCTCCTTGACGCAGATGAGACGACGGTGTTCCTCTTATGTATTTTTTTCTGACACTCTTATTCAAAACAAAAATATATATTTTGGTGTTTTTTAATCATAAAAAAGTAGTCTAACTGCTATTTAAAATCTGTTAGATTATCGAGAAAATATTTATAAGAAAAAATAAAGTCAAGAAAGAGTAACGCGAATTTTTTTTTAATTCATGTTAAAAATTTATCAACAATTCATTCTGAAAATTAAGGAAGTTTCAATGATGAATAACTATATCTCTTAGATCTAAATAACGTAAAATAAGTAACCTGATAAAAAGGAAATTCTTTAAATCCATAGGATTTGAAACTTCTCAAAAAAATTAAAGTAGTCTATTCAAAAAAATTCGACAAAGCTTCATTTAACTTAAGAACTAGAAATAAAAATGTGTTTGTGCTGGAAAAGCTTGTTTTTCAAATAGTGATAAATCTTAAAATATATGAGACTTATTCTAAATTTATACATCATACATACGAGTGCAATGCTGGTTATTGGAGGAGATTTAACAGTTATTATTAATTAAAATTTTCTGATAAGTTTTATAACATAGACAATTTATGATTTATTTTAAATTCGTACCACCAATGATAAAATTGAATTATTTAAATAAGGTTTGTTTTTCTGGTTAATTTCCAATTTGAGCTTAAAGAGAAAAACAATTTATGATTTATTTAAGTTTATACCATCACAGATAAAAGGCAAGTTATTAAGTGATGCTTAATTGTTATGACTTAAGCCTTTGATGCAGAAGGGACAATAGTACTTCTTTATATGTATATATATATATAAAGTAAAATCTTAATTATTAAGTTATAAAAAGCAGTCTAATAGTTACTAAAATAATCTGCTAGATTATCGGAATTATATTTATACTAAAGTATAAAACGCAAAAATAGTAGTTTTAATTTTTTTTCCATTTATCTTCAGAAAATTTATCAACAATTGATTTTGTAAAAGTGAAGAAATTTCAATGATAAATAACGGTTTATCTTAGACCTAAATAACTGCAAATAAGTACAAATTTGAAAACTTTTTATTTGAAAGTGAGCCATGTTTCGAAGATTCTACTTTTAACGCAGGAAAAATTGCCGGTGTTTTACGCTGTATTTCAGAAACAGTAATTATTAAAATGCTAAATATCATATTTTTCACTTATTTTGACATAAATTAATACAAAATGATGTGAAAAGTATTAAAAAAATGTTCAATAAAAATTCTCATCAAAGGGCTAATAATATTGATTAAGTTCTAGTACACACTCAAAACAAAAGGTAGTAGATAGAAATTTTGATTCGATAATTAAACTATGATATTAAATAATTAAATTTCAAGTCGAAATGTTAAACTGGCATAAATTATTTAAACACTAAAAGCTCGTTTAATAACAAAATACTGATATTTTGATAAACATAGATAAAAAAAACTTGAAATGCCATTATAAATAATTTATATAGTATCAGGAGAATGTATCAAGTAATTTTACAGTTATAAACTATCGGTGTTCTATTATTTCGATAAAAAAGTGCTAAATCAAGTTCGATCAATTTATTTGTGTTTTAATATAAAATTAAAAGTAAATTACAAGTATTTATTGTTATGAAATTTTAAAAAGCTTCCATGTCCACTTCGTATTTCTTACATAGTATCAAGATGCGAGGCTCTGATCTATTTTACAGCATGCAGTATAAATTTATAGAAGTAATAATTTCATTGCATTAGTTAATTTCATGTAATAAACACACTTCTTACATTAAAAGGTTTCGCATGCAAAACATATTTTTCTGACTTGAAATGAATTCAATTGAAATTATTTTAAATTCTTTCAAATCTGCACTATTAAAATGCTTGTTGCACTGAAAATATAATATTGTTTGAATATGTTTCAGATTTCAAAAAGTGTAAAGTTGAAACATATCATATAAAATTTTTATCTTTTTTCATTTATAAAATAAATTTATAGCTCGGGTTGACTCTTATCTAAGTATAATAACTCCATTCAAAGAAAGACGGTTTTTGCATTCAAAATAATTTCAATGAAATTTATAAGCTTTTGGTTAATTTTTAGGTTGCAATTTACTGTTTATGAGTGCTTTACATAATATTTTTTTATGTTTTAAATTGCAATGTGTAATTTAAAACATAAAAAAACAATGTGTTATTTTCTACTTGTTGTTATTCTGTGTTCTCTATTTACAATGCTTAAAAATAAACTGAAGTTAGATAAAACGATAAAAGCTAAATGTCTATATTTCAAACAGATTAAAAGAAACTAAATATTGAATAAATTAAAATCAGAATAATGGAAAATTTCCAGTTCCTTTCCATATTTTGAAGTTGCAGCATTTATATTAACCTATTTAATTCTAATATATTCAATCCCATGATTTAATTCCAATTGAGTAATTGAAACAGATTATTAAATTAATTCAAGTTTTAAAGGAATTAATTATTTATTAAAGTTATTTGAATGCGCACAGAAAGAAGTAAAGAACAACTAAAATGATCTGACAAACTATTGAAATTAGGTTAAAACGATTAAATTGCATTAGCAAACAATTTATATTAACTGAAAATGATTAAAATTCATTAGCAAACCACTAAAACTAATTACTAAATGAATGTTAAATAATCAAGTAACTGCTACGAAACGAAGTATATGGTCCAAACCTGTCTTAAATTTGACAAGTTTCCAGATGTTCGCTTGTCAAACCGGTAGTTGGGAACTACCTATCATTTGAATATTTGTTATGCTGGATGGAAGTGCCAGGAAATTTGCTTAGAAATCTCTGACAAGTATGAGCATAGAATGGCTATCCAGAAAATGGAACTTAGTGGGTTATTATTCGGGCATACACAGTAAATACTAGGAGTGGAATGACACTCATTTATTTCATAATAAACTTAGTGACTCTTCCAATTTAAGCCATGACACTATTGAAGGAGACAAATGCTTTTAAATTTCAAATGACTTGAGTCCATAAAATATATCACATTTTTTTCTCTTTTTTTTTAAAACTGGTCTTGTTTTGTTTGTCAGAAAGCATAAAATGTTCTTTTTTTCAAATAAAAACATTCGACTCATTATAGGCGCAAGCACTATTGGGACTTAAAGCATTGGGATGCAAGCACTATTGGGTGGGCAAGCACTATTGGCGCAAACATTATTGGCACTTTGTGTGTTATTTAATCTAAGGTGAACTCAGTGACTCTACTGATTCTCACGTAAACAAGTGATTATTCTTAATTTGAACAACTTGAAATAATTCCATGGAATATCTGCAACTGATACTAAAAAAAAATATCTGAAATTAATTGTTAAACATTGTATGTTTTTTAAAATGAAAAAAAGCTGATTAAGTTCAATAATATAACAAGCACAATTAACATTTGTGATATAATGGAAATCATTTTGCCCTTTGTGGAGTCAGTGACTCAAGTTGTTCCTGCTTAAATAAGGAAGAGAAATGCTTTTTGATTTAGAATTTCAAATAACTCAATTGAATTGCTCTAACTGATACTCAAAAAAACTATTTTTGCTTGTTAGGAATATATATGTCACGGCGAAAGACTGAAATCGGTGGTTGTTGACTTTCATCGGTGAATGTCGACAAACACCAAATACGTCGGTGAAAGATCGAATATTTCATTACATTCTTGTACATTCGGACCCTCACCGGTGTATGTCGACAATCACAGATATCCTTTGGTGAATGTCCGAAATATTTATTGCATTCGATTTGATATGAATTTATTCGTGGATATAATTACATTTATTCGATATTTTAGCCCTACACCGATGTTTTTTTAAGGTTAAGTGCCACTGCCCGGAATACATTTGCCCGGTATACCCTACACTGATGTTTTTTTAATTTTCACATTTACCTATCAATTTTCTCAATTAAGCATCAATGTATTGAAACTGATATAAGATCGTATTGAATTTAACTACAATGGTATTATTATAGCCCATTCTTAAAATTCAAAAAGAGCAAATAACAATTAATGAAATACATTGAAACCAAATAAATGAAATAAAATAAATATTTTTTGTTGTAAATTGCGTATTTAAGCAATTTATTAAAGATTCTCACAGTACCAGCATAGAAATATTTTCTGTTACAAAATACAGACAATATATAAGAAAAAGTTGTCCATAATAGAATCTCCTTAATAGAATTCATCATAATAGTTCTTGTTCATAATAGAATTTCCATTAAAAATTGGATAAAGCTTTTAAATAGTCATTTTGTAATATAAAATTCAAAACGAGATCGAAGTATTACATTATCTGCTAAATAGGGTTCGATACAATTTTCAAAAGCTCTACCTGTTATCATTAAAATACAATGCATTCAGAAAAATTTCTTTGAATTGTCCAATTATTTTATTTTAGTTCCATCACTGAAATCAAAGATCGGGACTGAGATTTTAAAGACACCATTTGAGACCAAAGTTAAAGATATGAAGCAAAACTGCGTTTCACGAAGCATTGTCTTTCAAATTTAACAATAAAGATGATACTTCTGAAATATTGGTGGAAAATATTTTGCTCGAAACAAAAGCAATTGACTCCCAATTTATATTGTTATAAAGTTCAATCAGAATTCACGAATTTTGGGAAATAAATTAATTTTCAATTATAAATTATTGTGAAAATTTCTGTTCACTTTGAAAATTAACTTTTTAAAGTTTAGTTAATATAGTTTAATTTACAAATATTTATATACGTTTGTTTACTGGAAAGATCGTATTGATTGTTTCATTTGTCATAGTTGAGTAAATAAATGAAACAACCTTTTCGTATTGTCATATAGTTGTTCGTACTTAAAAATGATTATTTTAAAATTTTCAAATGCTTCAAAATTATCATGACATTTACAGATTTTATTAGTTTATTTCAAGATTTTAGTTTAAATTTAAATATTTTATTCATAATAAAGATTTTATTTCCTATGTGTTAGTAGTTATTCTTCAACGTTACAAAAAAAAATATTTATAATCTCAGAGGTATATAAGGTTTAGAATGTAATTAATGTAATTTGTCTACTGTATAATCCCTGAATGTCTATTGGTAAATTGAGTTTTAATTTGGATTTATTTCTACTAAATATTCAATGTCGAAATTAAAAAAGAAAAAAAGAAAAAGACAATTTTTTTTCATTAATAAAAATATTGTATTTATTAACTAACAAATACGTTTAATAAGCGATGAAAGAAAAATAAATTGATTTTTCATAAAGAAGATACTTATTTTCTGATTTACAATACTTAGTTTTCAATATAGTTTGAAACTTTTTCGAAACGCAAGCATCATACAAATTAAACTTACCATCAAAATACTTTAGTTCTCTTTCATTTATGAGGTAATTAGGTTTATTTTGTTGTACTTTTCTTGTCAAAACAAAGATAATAACAATGGATAGTGTGGCAGCAAAACCTGCTATGAGCACAACGTCAAAATTGGAGTCACGATTTTCTGCAAAAATAAGAAAATAAAAGAAATATTAATTGACTATTAATGAAACTAAAAAGCTGCCAATAGGCTAAAGCAGTTGTAAAATTTGCTGTAGCTCTTCGAAACTTATATCAAATAATTTCATGTTTTGGTTTGGTAAAAAAGCTAAGTCTCAAAAAAAAACTTTGTATTCCATTAAGCAAGGTTTGTTTCTGCAATTAGAGTATCACCGTTCAACGGCAACACGCATAATTTAATATGATTTACATAATGTGCATTAACGTTGCATAAATTTCTGAAAGATAATTATTTTTTTTAATATTGTTCATTAACTTTGAACATAAGGAATCGGCTATATATTAGTTTTTTTATTAATGCTAATTATTATATAACTATTATGAATACTAATAAAAAAATGACATAATATTAATCTTAAAAATAATTCACATACAACATAAAACAGTGTATAAGACAAAAACGATCAAAAATACATATTTTTTTAATTCACTGTTTTATAAAAAATAGATTGATTAATTAATAATCTGGTTTATTCTTTAAAAATGCAAGTAGAATGATGAAGGGATTTAATAGGTTTTTAAAAATAGGTATTTAAAAATAAAGGAAATCGCAAGAAATTGGGTTTGGAGATATACAGTCATAGTGGGTGGGTCTAGCACTAAAAGTTTTTATTTTTTTGTTGTTATAACAACTTTTACTCTAACTCTACTCTATATTGAAACAAAACTCAAATAATGTAAGGAACATGAAAAATTATCATTTTTTATGTAGAGGTAAATTGATATTTGAGACATAATCAAGAGTGAAAAGGTTTTTGCGTTCCTTAAAAGAAGCACAAGCTTAGATAAATTCAGTCTGCTATTGATTTCTATGTATATAGATACAAAATGTTTCTTTTATAGAGTTTTAGAATAAATCTGATCATTTTATTACTTTAATAGACTTTTATGTTTCAAAAACTGATTAATGACTGTATAGTAAAGAAAGGGGGAAAAGTAAACTCAGAAGTCTAGACATATTAATGATTTATAGATATTTATCTCTGTTTTTCTTTTATTGTACTAAATTATATTTTAATCGGGATTCAATAACAAAGTCATTATAGCTAATGGTAGAGTTTTCTTGACAATTGGAATATTTAAAACATGAAATTACTTCTCATTTAAAAAATTAAATAGGCCTATTCTTTATAAACCGTAGTTTTTCTATTTTTGAGAATAAAGAAATATAAAGAATTGAATAAGTACAAATTTCAAGCAAATAAAAATAAAAATATCAACCTATGGTAATTGATTACACTATTTGCTATTCAATTAAATATTTAATACATTTTTGAATCGAATGCTACAATGCTATTTTTTTAATTTAATGGGTATTAATGATATCTATTAAAATGTAGTTTAAAATTCAGTAGTGATTTAAAACGCAATATTTTTTACAACAAACACAATATTATTATATATAAGGACTGAATAATGGAAAAACTGGTTGATGAAAGTGGTACATTATGGATAAAAGCGATGTAGATATTTTTTTTTTACACAGAACCAGAATTAAATTATCAAAATTTTTGAACGGAAATTATGTTAACTTTTATTTTTTGCAGTATAATAGATATATCACATGACTCTAATCAGTGAACAGTGAGTCAGTAAAAAAAATGTAGCGGAATTTTATGATGGTGTCTCTAATTTTGTTTCATTTTATTGATACAGCACCACGTAAAAATTTGCTCTTTTCCCGTTAAGTTTTTAAAAAGTTTTAAAACCCTGTTATAAATTGAATTAAACGTTAATGATCATTTAAATAATTTCAATTATACCGGAATTTTGCGTCATGCAAAAATTTAGCGTTAATAATTTTCTGCAAAATATTAGAATAATCTAAGATTATACAGCAATATGCACTTGAAAATAAACAATCACAAACGCATTTTTACTTCAATGCTATACATGTACACTATTCAGTCATTCGAGATTTGATTTTAATTAAAGAATTGTTTAATATAATTATATGCCGCCTTTTCAAATTCTTCTTAAACATTCGTGCGGGAAAGACGTGTCACACACGTCAAGATTCTATACAAGTTACTCTGAAATTTTCACAGAAAAGAAAAAGAAATCCGTCTTTTGTGTCTCTAAAATGGGAAATATAGTTCCGATTTTTATATAGCATTAAGCACTTAAGACCCTGCTGTGAGATGCAGTCAACTGCTTTGGCAATGGCATCTGAGAATATTTTTTGGGCCATAGACGAAAAACACTATGATTTTGGCAATGAAGTGTTTCGGAATTTCAAACTTTTATCTAGAATAAACTTTTATAGTATATATCTGCAAACAACATGAAAGGTGGCTTTGTGCTATTAAGGAAAAAAAAATTCCTTTTATAAAAAATGCGGCTTTACACTATTTCGCCTCAAGAGGCTGAAAAGGATATATAATCCCCAAAGTTATTCATTCAACTTTTGGAATTCCAATAATATTATCCACTGAATATTAATTTAAATAATTCAATATAATGCACAGATTAGACAAATGTTATTTAATAATTTTCGTAAAAATAAATTTAAAATTTACCTTTTAAAAACGTATATGTACAAGGTTCTTTCTGTTCTCCAATATCATTCTTCCCCCAGCATGTAATTTTAAAGCTCGTGTTTTTCCCTTTCACAATAGTGTGTGGAACTTGACCAGTGCTCCAGCTGTGATTGGTAGAAGAATTACGAATCATCCAATAAAATGTCACGTTCTCTGGATTCGATAGTAAATTGCAGGTCACGTTAGCGACAATTTTGTCCTGAAGGCTTTCTCCGTATTGCCTTGATATTTCAATCTCCCGACAGACTGGAGAATCTGAAAAAGGATTCATGACAAAAATATAAATTGCTTTTGAGGCAGCATTTTTGGTCTTCAACAAAACATCTAATTTAAAGCAATACATTTTTATTACGTGACTGACTGAAAGTACAACAATTCTATGTTTATTGAATGGTTTTATTTCAAGTAAACTAAAACCTCTCATTCCAGTTCACTTACTCCAATGTAAAATAACTATACTATGTATATGCAATGATACTTATAAGTCTGTTTATTTAATCTTCAACAAAATATACACTTTAAAATAAACATTTTTATTACGCGATTAATTCAATAAATTAAAACAATTGTATGAATAGTTTTATTTCTAGTAAGCAAAACTGTCTCATTCCAGTTTACTTTTCCTAATGTAAAGAGACTAAAAAGAACATAATTTAAAATAGGATTTTTTAACAAAATATTATTATATTCGAAAAAATTTATTGACACAAAGATGCCTTTGAGGCTGCATTTTTTCTCTTCAATAAAACATATAATTTAAAACAATACATTTTTATTGCGTGATTAACTCAGAAAAGTATAGCGATTCTATGTTTATTGAATAGTTTTATTTCTGGTAAAAACCCTTTCATTTCGGTTTACTTTTCTTAGTGTAAAGTAACTAAAAAGAGCATTATTTAAAATGTAAGTTTTCAATATTCAATTCATGAAATATTTTGGGTTATAATATTGTTTTTAATTCTGTATTTTTTGTTTTAAACAAATTATTTAGGCAAAAATAACACACTTGCTTATATGATGGATAGAAGAACGTTTTATTGAATAAATTTATTGTTTATTGTATGAATTTAGTGTTTATTGAATGAATTTAATGTTTATTGTATGCATTTAATGTTTATTGAATAAATTTAGTGTTCAATGAATGAATTTATTGTTTATTGAATGAATTTAAGTGTTTGTTGAATGAATATAATGTTAATGCTATTTTACTTTCTTTGTTTTAAATATCTAAAAAGAACATAATTTAAAATACGAATTTTTAATGAAAAGTTATTTTGTTCTATTAATGGAAAAATTAAAAGAGCAATAATAGTTAAAAAGGTGCAGGTAAAATAAAACTAATTAAAAGCAATACATTTTATTACGCAACTGACTTAAATTAGAATATTTCTATGGTTGTAGAAAATTTTAATTAGAAATAGGAAAATCATTTAATATATATAAAACTTAAATAAATTTAACTGCACAGTATAAAAGCAAAAGAAAAAACATAATAAAAACTACACATTTCGGTTATTAGGTGATAAAAACTGTTCATTTCTATTACCTCATTCATTCAATATTGACTCTATTAAATTTATTTGAAATAAGCGAACTAATTTTTGTACTATTAAGGTAAAGTTTTGCGTATTTTAAATAAATGAAATAATATGCTTTTATTTAATTAATAGTTGAAATCAAATAAGGTAGAAATGAAGAAGCATTTCTAAAAAATGAATTCAGATATCAAGGAATAAAAATGCTGTGCTCTATTTTTAGAATAAATATTTATTGCAATATATATTCGAAGATAAAATTCAAATAATAATATTTTACGATTTAGTATTTTGCACAAATATTTGGTATTAAATATCTTACGACAAAGCAAAATAAAATAAATATTATTGTTTTATTTAAAATAAATATTTTTAAAAGCATTAAAAAAAGTATTTTTTTAAAAATGCTCTCTTAAATTTTTAATATTATTTTTATGTAACGAATGCAGTGAACAAGAGATTCTATTAATAATATAAGTTTATTTAATAATTTCAATTTTAAATATTCCTATTAAGTACTATTAAGCATTGCACTCCTAGCATTATTTCTTTTAATCATTTTTTTGCTTGAAATTAAAAGAAATGATTGAATATATAAAATATAAATATTGTAAACATAAATATAAATAAAATATAATTAAACATGCAGTCAAAACCATAATACCTACTGTTGAACTATGTAATTGAAACCATTAAGCAATACGTGATAATTAGCATGGTAATGCATTATAAGAAATACATTTCTGTTGATAAATTTATACAGAACTCAACTATTTAAAAAATTCTGGTATAAGGCAAAAAGAAAAAAAGGCAAAAATATAAATATATAATTTTTTTTAATAATTGCAATTTGAAAAACAAAAACATATAAATATTGAAATTTTAGAAAAATTTTTATACCGATTAAATTTTTAACTAAAATAATTAAAAACTATGTTTATATCAGTACGTAAATTAGAAAACTTAATTAGAAAATTCTGTTACATTTATTTACGTATTAGTACACAGTATTCTGAAACATTAAAAATTCATTAAAAATTTTAATACAAGCATTTTGTACTCATCCTGAATCTCATGTTCTTTGAATCTATTGAACTTATAATAAACTTTTAATGCTCTAAAAGCTAATGAAAAAAGAAAACGCAGAGCATTCGCAATGCTGACATTTGTCACCTGTAAAAGAATTTGCGGTGATTAGATTCTTCATGTTAGGAATTTAAAATGAAACACTAACAAAAAACCATTTGGGAAATAAAAATTTAATGAACTGAAAAAGAAAAACATAATCCTCGCATCAAATAATTTTAAAAAATAACTGGCTAACTATTATAATAACTATGATTTAATGTCTTCAAAATTGTAATTGGTAACATCTGAAGTCTGAAAAGAGTTTAGTTTTGAAACTATTTATAATTTATCAGATTTATTGAAGTATTTTCATATATTTTATAATGATATCTATTGTAATAATGCCAGAAAAAAGATACAGACATTTCGTTCAATATCAGACAACTCATAATAAGAACAAATGAATCACATTTAGAAGGAGAACAGTATGTATCAAAACATATAGTGTACTTTTCTGACTTTAGTGACTGACTTTCGTGACTTTAGCGCTTAAAACTGTTCCATATATTTCTCAATACGAACCGTCCACTCTGCCATCGGGAAATATTTTCTGAGTTGTGCTCTTCATTGACTCCAACATTGGGATAAACATGGGTGATTTTAAAGGTTTTCTTATTCCTATAAGGCTAATGCGTTTTAACTTTAAACGTTGGAATAAAGCGGAGTTTCATTTCATAGACGCTTGATACAAGCACAGAGAATTGAATACTCGCTCAAGAAATTGATGAAGGTCTCAGAGCATAAAGCACTTGCCCCCCAGTGAGGCAATATTCAAATATATGATCCTGAATCGAATAATCGTATATTTGTATATTTACGGCTTATAATAACTGCTACTGTGCTGCCAAATATATACCTCTAGGAGGGCGAGTCATGATATAAAGTTTTCTTACAGCGTGAAGTTTTCCGATTCATGTAACGTAAATGTGGGTGATGTTCATTGAACGTTTTTGGCCTAACGTCTCATCTAGGAATAAGTCTGTATTATCGAACTGATTCCAAATTACAAGGCTATGGAGATAGAACTTGATGCAGCTAAAAATCTGATGTGAATTAACTGTTTAATGCCGGTGATAATAAGAAAGAAAATTTTTTTCCCCTCATTGTTTGGTTCAAGACTTCAAAGATGTGTGCAGTTTTGCTATATTCTGAACCAGAATAAGAGAATTGTTAGTATTGATAAAAAATGAATATATATATATATATATATAAATA